AACCGTCTCAACCATACCTGCAATAGTAAGGCGTGCAAGTATTTCATTAGACAATGGAACAAAAGGTGAATCAAACCAAGATACAAATGCAGAGACAGTTTCTGCTGATGAAAATCAACCACCTATTCAAGCACCTGTGGTATGTTTCTTTCAAAATATCAAAATTGTCATGTCACAATCACTCTGTTGTTGACACCTTCAAAAATGGCAGCTGATGTTGATGCAGTGACATGTTTGTAAAAAAGCATAATCTGCATTCTCATTAATTTTACAGGAAAATATAGATAAGAGAGTCCAGTCAAGTTCCACCACCCGTCGAACACGCTGTCCTCAGCATGAGCCTCCTATTGAAGAATATTTTGCTCGCCTACTTGATGAATTGAAAAAAACTAATTGCAAACTTTTGCCTCACAAGTTGCTGATGAATTCTTGGATATCTCAAACCTTGATGTGATGTTTTGCAGAATGTTACTGTCTGTAATCAGAGAGGTCCCTCCTGATAAGCATACTGAATTCAAAGGGGATCTATATGGATATATTATGTTCATAGTTTCCACTTGCAAAAAGCAAAGCCCATTTCCTAGATTTCAGCCCTGAGGATTGGGTTTTAATACACCTAGTGGCTCTAAATCATTGTCCGACCATCACTGTTATGACACTACACCTGCCATGAGCCACCCTTACTCGGGACTCCTACCAATGTACACACCTTTCCAGGCTAATCAGGGTTTTTTTTTTACAATGGATTTTATTAGAGATATCAAGTCATCCGAAAAATCCAAAAGTGAAAACAATCATACAAAGATATGAAACATACAATTTTTCCAATGAACATAATGAATGCACTGAATTACAGAAAAATAGGCAAACTGAGGATATAATTACAATATGCAAATGGGTAAGATAACACATAACAAACTGCAGCAAAAATTAGCGAACAGAGGCCAGTGAGCCATCAAGTAGAGGCCGTAGAGGAACCTGAAGTCCAAAAAAAAAAAAACAACATAATGTGGAGTCTTACTGGATAAACCTGAGTACTCCAAACTGTGGGACCCCTAAGAGGGTCCAGCAGATATACAAAGCACTTCAGGTACAGATCTCGAAATATCACAATCAGCGCAGGTACCAAAAGAATAAGTTGGTCAGGAGAGAAAGAGAAGAGGGAGAAGACAAGAGAAAGAAGGAGGAGAGAGAAAAAAAGGGGAGGGGGAGAGAGAGAGGATCCTGGGGGATCGCACTAGAAGGACATCATATTAACAGAAGGGCATGGTCAAATCTAGACGGCTGGGCTATGTCAATCCAGGGGCACCAGACCTTTATGGACTTTGAGTGTGTGTCCAACAGTATAGCTGTCAACTTCTCATTAACCATTATGAAATTCATCCGGTTTTTGACTGCTTCAAAACTAAGGAGCCATAAATAAATGTGATGCCAACTCTATCTCAGGAGAAGGCCGTCCAGAGGTTTAAATAACAGCGCCTCGTAGGCATTGCGCTTAATATTTGTGTGAAACATTGTGCGGAGAAGGGCATAGACCCTAACCCAGAGTCTGCATACCTTGAGGCAAGTCCACCATATATGATCTATGGTGCCAATTTGTTGACAGCCCGAAAACAAGTCAGCGGGTAGGAGGGAATGAAACAAGCCAGTTGGGCCGGTGTATAGTACCACCTGTAAAGGATTTTATAGGCATTTTCTAAGATAAGGACATTTTTCAAACATTTGGATAATGCTTGAGTCATGATCCACCAGTCCTGCTGATTGAGTCAGCCTCCAAATTCCGATTCCCAATGCTGATGGTAAGTTTGAAGTGAGGGCTTTCTATAGGAAATAATAGCAGAGTAAATCAATGAGATCAGGCCCAGAGAATGAGGTCTCTGTCTGCAGAGACTTTCAAAGGGAGTCAGCCTGTAAGGCGTAGGGTGTGTATGTAACAATTTATCAATAAAATGGCAAATTTGAAGGTAACAAAAATGCTCCCTCAATGGGATATTATAGGGTGATTGAAGGGTGTCAAAAGTGAGTATCCGAGTGGGAGAGAGGAATGAGTGCACATCATGAAAACCGTAAGCTGACCACCACGTGAACTTTCCATGACTGTCAAGGCCCAGGGGAAATAATTGATTATGAAGTAAATGCATTTAGGGTAAATGGGCTGAGATAAGACCAGCCGCAAGTGATGAAGGACAGACGTGAGATAAGACCAAGACAAAGTTTCAAAAGCTTTGTTAATATCAAATGATAAAAGCATCATATCAATCTTGCGAGTGTGGCCTAAGTGCTGTAATTGCAGGACCCATCTGATGGCATCCCCGGCTTGCCTATGTGGAACAAAGCCCACCTGATCCTTTTTTGATCAGTCTGGAGAGAAAAAAATTCAGACGATTCCCTAAAATTTTAGTAAGAAGTTTCATGTCTATATTGATGAGGGAGATCGGCCTATAATTTGCCCAGGATGAGTGATCCTAATCAGGTTTCGGGATCGTAACGATCTTGGCATTTAACAGATTAGAGGTAAAGATCGAACTCCCCTTTATGGAGTTATACATGGCAGGCAGGTGAGGAGCGAGAACATCAGCCAATTTCTTATAGTATAAAGCCATGTATCCATCTGGGTCTGGACGTTTGCTCATCTTCAAATCAGCAGTGCAATGTAGGACTTCCGATATTTGAATATCCCGGTCCATCAAATCTTTATGAGCCTGAGTCAAGGTAGGCAAAGGCAACTGGGACAAAAAGTCTGAGACAGTTTGAAAGTCAGCCCGAGTAGGATCAGTGTAAAGTTTAGTGAGATGATACCTGAACTCTTCCAACACCTTTAAGGGGTTGCTAGTAAGGACATTATGATGAGTACATAAGGAGATCGGTTTGGAATTGCACGTAAAAGAACATAGCCTATGTGCTAACATAGAATCAGGATTTGTCTTGCTCTACCACTTCTGATGGGTCCAACGCAAAGAACGTTTGGCCTGATCCAGCAACCTATGATTAGAAGGAGTTGGTGATTGCTTAAATTGGGACGTTAGACGTGTCAATTGAGTTTCAAGTTGGTGCTTTTTATGTTGTGTTTCTCTTTTATGTTTTGATGCCACCTGAATAATATGGCCCCGGAGAACTGCCTTGTAAGCTTCCCATGGTGTCACCGAAGAGGAGACAGTACCTAAGTTGAGCTGGAAGTATTCCTGGGATTTATGCAGGAGATCTGTCTGAATCTCTTTCAGAGAAAGCAAGGAATCATTCATAATCCAGAAGAAATATGAAGGCTTACAAAGAATTGAACAGCAGACCACCAAAATAGGATCATGATCGGACCAAGGGTTCAGCACCAAATTCAAGTCTCCCACCACCACGATGAGTTTCCAGAAGGGAGCAGACATGAGCCAGGAAGTGCCCTGGGTTAATATTTGGAGCATAGTAGGTCAAGATTGTAATATCCACATCATGGATCGCACCCTGTAATAAGAAGTACCTGCCATTTGGGTCAGCAATACGTTTCACACAAGTAAATGGGGTCTTTTTATGAAAAGCAACAAGGACTCCCCTTTGTTTAGTAGGGCCCACTGCTTGAAAAATCTGAGGATAACGGGCATCAAAATATTTTGGGCTGGAGGTTGCAGAGAAGGGGGTTTCCTGTAAGCAAGTGATTAGAGATGAGCGAATTATTCAAAAATTCGATTCGGCTGATTCGCCGAATTTGCGGAATAAATTCGATTCGATGCGAATTTATTCGCTGCGAATTTAACTTATTAAAAGGGTTTCTAGGCTTCAGAGAGCCTTTATATTAGTGCAGAACACTGTACCTTTAATTTAAATGCCCTTGGAGTCTGCTGGGGAAGAGAAATAATACTGTCAGTCAGTATGACATGCAGATGAGTGCCGTCGATCTTAGAATCACCGCACACTTCACTCATTTGGGCAGTCACGGGGCACGACGAAGAAGATGAAGAAGAAGATGAAGAAGAAGAAGAAGAAGAAGAAGAAGATGAAGAAGAAGAAGAAGAAGAAGATGAAGAAGAAGAAGAAGATGAAGATGAAGATGAAGAAGAAGATGATGAAGAAGAAGAAGATGAAGAAGAAGAAGAAGAAGAAGAAGAAGAAGAAGAAGAAGAAGAAGAAGAAGAAGATGAAGAAGAAGAAGATGAAGAAGAAGAAGAAGATGAAGAAGAAGAAGATGAAGAAGATGAAGATGAGGATGAAGAAGATGAGGATGAAGAAGAAGAAGATGAAGAAGAAGAAGATGAAGAAGAAGAAGAAGATGAAGAAGAAGATGAAGAAGAAGAAGAAGAAGATGAAGAAGAAGATGAAGAAGAAGAAGAAGAAGATGAAGAAGAAGAAGAAGATGAAGATGAAGAAGAAGAAGATGAAGAAGAAGAAGAAGATGAAGAAGAAGAAGATGAAGAAGAAGAAGAAGATGAGGAAGAAGAAGAAGAGGATGAGGAAGAAGAAGAAGAAGAAGAAGATGATGAAGAAGATGATGAAGAAGAAGATAATGAAGAAGAAGATGAAGAAGAAGATGATGAAGAAGAAGATGATGAAGAAGAAGAAGATGAAGAAGAAGATGAAGAAGAAGAAGAAGAAGAAGAAGATGAGGATGAGGAAGAAGAAAGAAGAGGATGAGGATGAGAAGAAGAAGAAGAAGAAGAAGAAGATGAGGATGAAGAAGAAGAAGAAGAAGAAGATGAGGATGAAGAAGAAGAAGAAGATGAGGATGAAGAAGAAGAAGAAGATGAGGATGAAGAAGATGAAGAAGAAGAAGAAGATGAAGAAGAAGAAGAAGAAGATGAAGAAGAAGAAGAAGAAGATGAAGAAGAAGAAGAAGATGAGGATGAGGAAGAAGAAGAAGAGGATGAGGATGAAGAAGAAGAAAGATGAGGATGAGGAAGAAGAAGAAGAAGAGGATGAGGATGAAGAAGAAGAAGAAGAAGATGAGGATGAAGAAGAAGAAGAAGATGAGGATGAAGAAGAAGAAGAAGAGGATGAAGAAGAAGAAGAAGAAGAAGATGAGGATGAAGAAGAAGAAGAAGATGAGGATGAAGAAGAAGAAGAAGAAGAAGAAGAGAATGAGGATGAAGTAGAGGATGAGGATGAAGAAGAAGAAGAGGAAGAGGATGAGGATGAAGAAGAAGAAGAAGAGGATGAGGATGAAGAAGAAGAAGAAGAAGAGGATGAGGATGAGGATGAGGATGAAGAAGAAGAAGAAGAAGTAGGATGAAAATAAGAAGAATTCCAGTACAGCAAAAAGTGTATCTGCAGAGAGCTCCGCTATTTCTGACAGTTCTCTGACAGTTCCTTCACATTTACAGTGGTTGAAACATTGTATCTATTTGTTTCCGAATAAAAACATCTGTATCCTAAATGGAAACAAATAGATACAATGTTTCAACCGCTGTAAATGTGAAGGAACTGTCAGAGAACTGTCAGAAATAGCGGAGCTTTCTGCAGGGACACTTTTTGCCGGCTGTAGAAGGGATGAAAATCGGCCGATCGGGACAAATTTGATTCGTGCATCCGAAGTTTGCTAATTTTCGGATTCGGTGCGAATCGAATTTTTCCTAATATTCAAAATGAATTCCACTTCGCCAAGTTCGATTCGCTCATCTCTACAAGTGATATCTACATGATGCGACCAAAGGTATTTAAATATCTTTACCCTCTATTGGGGAGAATTCATCCCCTGGACATTTAAAGAGAGCCAGTTCAGCAACATAACAATAGGAAACGGAGAAGATATCTTCCGTCATAATCCCCGGGAACCCTGGAAAAAATTAAACACAAAGAACAAGAAAAGAAAAGGACCGAAAGAGGGGGAAAAGAAGAGAAAAAAAGAAAAAAGTACAAAGAACAATCTAGTACACAACCAATATACATTTGGCTCAGAAAGGTTAGTACAAGTAAAATAAAAGCATATTGTGGGGGATTAGGCCCACATAAAGGCTGGATAGTGGTCAGGGCGGCAGACCGTAGGTGTGGCAGAAAGGCTTCACATTAACTGAGTCACATGTGTAGAGAAATGATAAGAGAAGCCATCAGGATAAATAATGTCAGCCAGGAGAGATATCCTGAAAACGTTGAGCTTGCAGGGACTGAAGAGCTTGGGAGCAGCTTTGGGATAAAGGAGGTGATTTGCATGAAGATTGGGAACCTCTCAAGTGGGTGGGGTCAGAAGCCTCCTCAGCCTGGATAGGGCTTCAAAGTGTGACATTTTGCTATTGTAACTGGAGATAAATCTGCGAATAACTGGAGGGAGTTGCCCTGGAAATCCAGAGCCTGTTGATCCCAGGCTACCTGTAGGAGGCGCTCTTTTGTGTGGTAATAATGAAATTTAATAATAATGTCCCTTAGAGGGCCTTCAGTAAGTTTGGGTGATAAAGCTCTATAAATACAATCAAATTCTAATCGCTCCGGGGGGAATCTCAAGAGCAAGTTCTTGAAAGAGAGCAGTAGCGGTACCTTGCAGATCAGTAATCACCTCAGGAACCCCACGAATTTGAAGATTATCCCTGTGGGCCCTGTTTTCCGCATGTACCAATTTATCCTTTAGAGTGTCCAACTCAGCATGTAGATTTTCCACCTTCTGTTTATGTCCTTCTAACACAGTAGTCGCTAAGTCCATACATTGTTCTAATTGATGAGCAGCGGTGTCCCAATTCCTTAAGGCCTCTTACAAGATCAGAGTACAGTTGGTGAGAAACTATTGTAATCTCTTCCCACACTATAGAGCGCAAATGGTGGAGCAGAGCCTCAGAATTTTGCTCAGGGGGGCTGAGTAACACAGAGGGAAACTGATGCAAGCCTCACCAGAGTCAGGGTCGCCCGAGAGCCTCGTGGTATCGTCCGGCTCAGGAGGATTGGGCGCCATCTTGCCTGCTCTTGGGAGCAGAGAGTCTCTCTGCTGTGCCCGGTGCTTGGGCTTATTTCTCGAGGTGCGATGCATCTGCCAATAATGCCCAGGTGTCCAGAGGACACTGTCAACAGCAAGGGCATCGGAGAGGGAGCAGAAAAGCCTAATACACCGAGGATTAGGTTCCAGCGGAATGGAGCCAAAGGATCAGGCGGCCATCTTTTCTGGCTGCGCACATGTGCCCCCCTAATCAGGGTTTTCAAAGAGTGCATAAGCAGCCAAACCCATGTCATCCATCATCTTTATCCTCCCAGTCTGATTCACCCATTGATGTTGGCAGGGAACCTAGCCATTCTTCCATACATTCCCCTTAACCAGTTTATGAACATTTGGAATTTTTTATTGCTTCTAATTTGTTATTTATATGCCGGTTTTATTTTTATATTGTGGTTCATCTGATAACTTTGCTCTAAGCAAGTAATCCAACTTCCTGCTGATTGTCTTTATTGTATCACCTCTAAAGATGGGTATTCATCATGGCATAGTCAAGCTGCTTCAGTTTAACCATTTCAACATCCCCTTTGTGTCCTCAGCTCCAGTCAAACACCATCTTGTCTGCACACAGCCTGCAAAACCAAAATGTGTCCAGATAAGATGAATGACAGTATACTTTTCACTATTTACAATTCCTATTTAATCTAGCCAAACCAATTCCTGATTTTTTGTATAAAGAGAGGTTGCCAACACAAAATCAACACGGGCAGTTTATGATACATTTGCAATTGATGCCTGATAACACTCAGCAGGATGTTGGACACACTTTGAAGTGTGATTGTATGTTTCAGAACCCAAGGTTTTTAAAATAATTATGTTTTCAAGCAATACATGTGGCCACTGTAAGCACTAACACATACTGCGCTCACAGTCCTTCTGTATGAAACAAAATATATTTTTGCCACGTTACATGATGGGAATACTTGAACTTTTCGTGATTTCTGCAAGTTATTTTTGTGACTCGTTACACCTGCAATAATGAGTTAAAAAAGAGTTGTATACTTGAAACTAAAAAGCCTTCACACTATTCCAAAGGGAATTTTTGTTGTATTATACATGCAAGCATGTATGTTCAGAGTTTTGTATTTTGAAGACCTAAGGTCTTCTTTATTTGTTTAACACGTTTGTTACTAGCTTACATAAAGTATACAAAAAATAAATCCAAAATAATTGGACAAAAAGGTGTTGACTTTTTTTTTACATTTTATCAAACTGTTAAAACTTGTATACTATCTATAACAATATAACAAAATTGTAAAAAAAAATTAAAAATGGTACAGCAGTGGTATTAACAATTGTACAAAAAACAAAATCTTCATCCAAAAGATTAGATATAGCTATTTTGCCATGGAACCTGTCCTTCTTTTGTAAGGAAGTAGTCCGCAAAATGGTCACATTTGTAGGGCATGATTACTGGGACGGGTGCCATCAGACCTTGGGTCATCAGACCTTGGGGTTCGTTTGGAATCTGTTCTGGCAAATCACTGGACACATTCTGCTTTATCCTCAAACAGTTATGCAGAACACAGCATGCCAAAACTATGTTGACTGCATGCTCAACCTCCACATGCATTGATGTTAATAAAACACGCCATTTTGATGTACAAATTCCAAAAGCACATTCCACCATTCAGCATGCTTCACGCAGTCGATAATTAAAAATGCGTTTCCTGGAATCTGAGCTATGCCTAAGGAGGTAGGTGGATAATGCAAATGCCTCATCTGCTACAACCACTAGAGGCAGATCTGGCCCAGCAGCACCAGGCAGAGGCCTTGATTGTGGCATGTCAAATTCCCCATATTGGAAACGCTGATCCATCACAGAATTACAGAAAATTCTAGAATCTCCAGAACTTTCATAGGCCCCAACATCCACAGTTATACATTTTATATTTTTATATATTGGCATCACTGTGTCCCAGCAGAACAATTGAGAAATATTTTTTGTAGCTGAAGAAGTGGGAACCAGAATTAGGTGGTTTGATGAGATGGACATGTTTCCCATCTAATGCCCCAATGCAATTTGGGAAGTTAGTTTTCTCCCAAAACTCATCAGCTATTTCTTCCCACAAACTGGTTGTTGGTTCCGTCATTACTGAGTTTTTCTGTTCTTTCCACAGGACAAGATAAGTGTCATGCACAATTGTTGACACAGTTGAGATCCCCATTAACCACATGCCACCCAGCCACTGTAGAAATACGGTGGCAGGGCAGCACGGCTGGGCAAAACCACGTTTTAAAACGTGTGTTTTCAAAACAGGTAGGGGGCATGCGTGAGGCGCGGCACCGCCCTACCTGTCCCGCCGATCAGGGCCGCGGATGTCAGTCGCCAGGTCACAGCCGGTTGTTACTGGCTATGTCCCGCTGATTAGCAGCAATCACTGACAGAGAGCACAGCTGCAGTAGCTGTGCTTTCTGTCAGTTCCCTGACAGCTCCTGACACACGCTGATCGGGACAAAAGAGTTTATCTGTCCGGATCAGTGTGTCTCCCTGCAGTACACACCCCGCCCCCTAGTAAAACACTCCCCTCACACAGTTAACCCTTTCAGTGAATAATAATGTTAACCCCTTCCTCCCCAGTGCCATTAGTACAGTGTCAGTGGGTTTTTTTTTTGCACTGATCACTGTATTGGTGTCACTGGGGATGTCAGTGACCCCAAGTCAGTTCCCGGCCAGTGTCAGAATGTCTGCCGTAGTCCCGCCATAAGTCGCTGATCGCCGCCATAAGTCGCTGATCGCCGCCATTATTAGTATAAAGAAAAATTTAAAATCCCAGTATCTTTCCCACCATTTGTAAACGCTATAACTTTCACGTAAACCAATTAATTTACACGTATTGGGGTTTTTTTTTAGCAAAGACATGTCGCACAATACAGTTTGGCAGAAATTTATGACTAAATTTGATTTTTACATTTTTTTTTACTGGACATGTTTTATAGCAAAAAGTCCAAAATATTGTTTTTTTTTCCTCAAAAATTGTCAGCCTTTTTTTTATAGCGCAAAAAATAAAAAACGCACAGGTGATCAAATACCACCGAAAGAACGCTCAATTTGTGGGAAAAAAAGGAAGTAAATTTCATTTATGTACCGTATTGCATGACCGCGCAATTGTCCGTTAAACTAGCGCAGCACTGTATAGCACAAAAATGTCATAAATTGCAGTATCTATACCATAGTTTGTAGACGCTATAACTTTCACACAAAGAAATCAATATACACTTATTGGGATTTTTTTTTTACCGAAAACATGTAGCAGAATACATTTTGGCCTAAATGTATAACTAACTTTGAGTTTACTATATATTTTTTATAGCTGAAAATATCAAAATTTTTGGTCTTTTTTTTGTTTATAGCATGAAAAATAAAAAGCGCACAGGTGATCAAATACCACCGAAAGAAAGCTCTATTTGTGTGAAAAAAAGGACGTAAATTTCGTTTGGGTG